CGTACTCTGGGTATCCAAACTATGGCGGGGGTGGTGGCGGCGTTATGGGTGGGTATAACTATGGTTCTTCACCACTTCGCTATGGATCTTCATCGCAGGCTGCTGCCGCCTCATCCTCGAAGCCACCGCCATCGCCGCCTCCGCCGCCCCAAGCTTCAGCTTGGGATTACTTCAACCTTTTTGAGAGCGACGACAAGTACTATCCTCAATATACTCCGAGCCGGGACTCCAGGGAGCTCAGGGAAGAAGAAGGGATTCCTGATTTAGAAGACGAGGACTATCGACATGAGGTTGTGAAGGAAGTCCACGGAGATCAGAAATTCGTGGACGTGAATTATTCTAAACCTACCATGGATGAGGAAAAAGTTAAAGCAGTCCAAGCAGCTGCCTCCGCTGCCGCCGTTTCTGGTGGTGGTAATGCAGAGGCCTCTCTGTATCAGACCAGACCGAGCGTGTCGACGGAGGGTGATGGGTTGGAGTACGAAGTACATGTGGTGGACAAGAAAGTGGTTGACGATGAGAGAACAGAGGAGCGGAGAAATGCCGCCAATAGCGGCCCGAGAGATCCCTCAGATGTTGCAAAGGAAATTGAGGTCCTGTTTGTAAGAGCTTCTGAGTCTGGCACTGAAATTGCCAAGATGCTTGAAGTAGGAAAGCTTCGTTATCAGCGAAAACATGGTAATTTTTCAATTATCCATTTCAAAACGAGTAGGGTTTTTCTTTTATTTCTGTATTATAAACATCCTTTATGTTCTTGCTTATGATCTGTCATGATTTTATGATGTGCGTAGATCACTTTAGCTTTGGCTCTCATTAGGCTGCAAATAGATTTTCTAATTTTGTGGTTCTTTTTTGGAGCAGTTTCTTCGAAGATGTTGCATGTAGTTACACCTTCACTATCTGTAGCATCTTCACAGCCTTCTACTTCTAAGAGTGCTGAGACCTCGGCCACCGGCAATGCGGGTCCAGCTTTTCTGGAATACCAGGAAGAATTGGCAATGAGGTCGGGAAACCTTTCTTCTACCTTGCAGAAGTTGTATCTTTGGGAGAAGAAACTATATAATGAAGTGAAGGTATGTTGCATCTTTATGTTTGCTTAAATTGTCTCTATGAAGTTCCTCTTCAGCAATTGGAATGATATTGCTACTTCTATGTTTACTATTTAAAATTCACCCTGTTATTTGGGGTCCTTAGTATCTGGGCTTGGTTCCTTCACTTCCCCCCTCCCCTTCCCCCTCTCTCTTCTTTGTAGTGAAGTTTATCTGCCATTGTAGTATTTTTTTTAATTTACCTTTTCTGAGATATCCTTTTGTTGAGCTTAAAGTTTGAAGGTGATGATGCATATTACATGGGTTTTAATTTAATGTTCTTGTTTGCACTTCACTCTTTCCTCTTAACAGTCCTGGTGCGCTTGTACTTTTGTAGGCTGAGGAAAAGATGCGTGTAGTTCATGATAGGAAGGTTCGGAAGCTGAAGCGGTTAGATGAAAGAGGTGCTGAAGCTCAGAAAGTAGATTCCACTCGAGCTATGGTCAGGAGTTTGTCCACGAAAATAAGAATTGCAATTCAGGTTGTTGACAAGATATCAGTGACAATTAATAAAATAAGAGATGAAGAGCTGTGGCCTCAATTGAATGAATTGATTCAAGGGTATGATGCTATGCACTTTGTCAATGTTGTGCATCTGGGTTCTACTTGATTATTTCCTTATCTTGTGATGATAATTTGGGCTTATGCTTGAAGTATAGTAAAGGATGGGTGGAAGGAGAATTTGGAGGGGGGTTCTCTTGTTTCCCAATTTTATAGTTGTTATTTTTCTTAGAAAAGTTTCTAAAAGTTCTATTAATTGCTTCCCAACCGAGGCTCCCAATATGGTAAATATGAAATCCCATTGATACAAAATCCTTAGAGAATCTTATGTAACGAGAATAGGATAGTAAATCACGCATTAGGAAAACTTTTCGTAGGAAACTTACTTGATAGAAGTTATATTACTTGCATTAATTAATTAGTGTGAAATTATAAAGCCCAAGTTGCATTTCTTCTCCTCATGTGTTCTTTCCAGATAAGGTAAATAATATATGGGGGTTGGTTAAGGAGCAAGAATAATCTCTTAGCTTCTAGGCAAGAACCATATATAGCAGTGGTAAGTGACAGTTGGACTCTGGAGGTTGGTTACCAAGAATTGATTAATGACCATTTATTTACTGCGGAGATGGTCTTAAAAAAAAAAAAGTAGAGGATCTGCATGTATGCCAAAGTCTTCATTTCTATTATTGGTGGTGAGGGAGACCTCTGATTTTCCTTTTGTGAGGATTTGAGACGTGGGGGTGTGAAATAGTTGTTTTATCTTCATTGGTTTAGCAGAGGGCATGACAATAGTGATTGAGCTTCCTCCTATCCCCACAAACGAAATGTAGTTTAGTGATTACATCTCAATGACGCTTTGGATATAAGATAATACATTTGAGTAGAAAGAAGGATACTAGGTCTAGTCATTCTTTAGGAATAACCTAGCTTTTTTTTAGTTAATTATGTTCAAGGAACAATTATCTCCTTGTATCAGGAGAGAGATTGTTTAACAATTTTTGGCTGGTTTAATTTTATACTCAAAATGCACTCTTGCTCTGAATTCTTCTATTAGTACAACCACTAAATAAGGAAGTAGAGGGAAACTTGTGTCCTGCATATTACTCACCAAAGAATCTTCTTTCGGTTCTTATATTTGGAAAATAGAACCAGGCTAACAAAGATGGAAAGAGAAGGAAAATTTGCTTGCCAATTCCCAATCTCATTATTTCAGCTATCAAGAATCTTCTTTGCATGCTTACATGCCAGCCTTGCCCCTTGATTCTATGCTTATTTATGTGATTGTTATTTTTCCTATTTCTCCACATTTTCAAGTTCTTAACTACTCTAGAAAGCCTAGTGATCCATGCATGTGATTTTTATGGTTAAAGACATCTCTTTTACCTTTTCAAAAACAAAAATATCTCTTTTGCATTGACTTTGGGTTTTTTTTAATTCAGATTAACCAGAATGTGGAAGTGTATGCTTGAATGTCACCGTAGTCAGTGCCAAGCAATAAGAGAAGCCAGAGGTCTGGGTCCGATTGGATTTGGCAAAAAGCTTAGCGATGCTCATCTTGAGGCCACATTACGGCTTGAATATGAACTTCTTAATTGGACTTTCAGATTTGCTAGTTGGGTAGGTGCCCAGAAGGGTTATGTTAATGCGTTGAATAAGTGGCTTCTGAAGTGTCTTCTCTACGAACCTGAATTAACAGCTGATGGACCAGTTCCCTTCTCACCTGGTAGAATAGGTGCACCTCCTGTATTTGTGATCTGTCATCAGTGGTCACAATCATTGAATGACATATCTGAGCAGGAAGTGATTGATTCCATGCGTGTTTTTGCCATGAGCGTGCTCCAGCTTTGGGAGCACGACAAGCTAGAAATGCGCCAAAGAATGATGGGAAATAAAGATTTGGAGAGAAAAGTTCGTAACTTGGATAGGGAAGATCAAAAGATTCAGAAGGAGATCCAGACGTTGGACAAGAAAATGGTTCTGGCATCTGGGGATGGTAATGGAATGCTAGTAGCCGGACATGTCGTCTATCAGAGTGACACTAGTAGTAACAGTCTTCAGGGGAGTCTGCAGCGCATTTTTGAAGCCATGGAGAAGTTCACAGCTGACTCCATGAAGGCATACGAGGGGCTATTGGAACGTATAGAAGAAGAAAGTCATAGTAAAGGACACAGGGAACTCTCATAAGCAAAATTAAGCAGTCATCTTGTTTCCTTGCCTACCTGGTTTCCTTATCTGCCAACTGGTAGCCGTGCTGGAAAATTATTTGAAGCTCTGGAATCCTAGAGGGCTTCTTGTGGCACAACATGGATCAACAGGTTTGAACATTATCTTATGTTGAGTATTATCATCAGTGTTTGTCCTAACCCCATCGGAGACTGCTACATCAGGAGAAAAGATTTCATTCTAAAACCATGTTGGATCGTGGGATATTAACAATCTGCAAGCCTTATCAATGGGATCATTTCTGTTGCCAATGTTGAGATTTTGTCAGAGCAGGAAGCCCATGACTACAAAGGTAGTGATTCCTAATGATCCGTGGTCTACAACTTGTCCTGAGATCTTGAGGCTGATTTCGGCGAAGTGGGGACAGTGTTTGGCCTTTTGAATTGCAGCTCTAAACGTATTGAGATATTTGCATCTACAACAAATATTGCCTTGAATCAAAATCCATTGACTTTTCCAGCATGGTTCTTCGGGTCTCGCAAAGGGAGTGTAAGAGAATTACAGTAAATGGATGCACAACCAGGTCAAAAATCCTCCGAATTGGCAGACTGCCAGGAGTTCTGTAAGAGGGCGAGCTTCGAAGTATTAAGTTAGGGGCTATTATCGTGACAAAGTCACAGAAATGCCCGGGAGTTGGATATTGTACAATAATTTTTTTTTTTTTTTTATAAAATTAAATCTTTCAAATATTTGTTAAGTTGTTGTACAGAGAGGAACCTTTTGATAGGAATCTGAAAGTAAATTCAATAAAAATTCTCTGCCTTATCCAGGAACTGGAATTCAGGTTGAGTCCTGCTACAGACTACAGCTACTGGGTTCAAATAATAAGTTTTTGCTGGATTTGATTACTAACTACTGGCAGGGACTCTTGCTAAGCCTCTCAAGCTTATGAGTTGGATTGATTATGTATTCTTTTTCTGTTATTTACGTTACTGGTTTCCAAATGTATATATATATATATATATGTCCGTATACACAAAGAAGAGAGAGAGTTTTTGAAATGGGAACAAAAGAAGGTTGAGCGTGATCGTGGTATGGTTGTGGCGGCTCAAGGAGTAGGTGCAAAGACAATGAAATGACTGGCTTTTTATTTATTTATTAATTATTATTATAATTTTAAATAAAGAATTACTTGCGAGAAAAGCTAGGGAGGAGACTACTACTCCAGTGTGATTATAAGAAAATATCATTTTGTCTATAAATTATATAATATTTTAAAAAGTGTAGAAAAAAACTCGTTATATAATTAAAAATAATAATTGTGTTATTATAAGATCTTTAATCCTGTAATTATTTAGGTCTGGAGTGGTGGAATTAAAATGAATGATTGAGGTTAAATTATTGGGAGGACATTTCTGCAAAATTCATATGCAATTCCGCGAGTTTAGAGAATTATGCAGAAGAAAATCCACGCGGGTTATGATTATTATCGTACGTCTTTCAACTCAAATTTCATGGACGATTCTTTGAATTTAATTGTCATTGAATTATTACAGCCGCCAAAAAACTTTGAATAAGAAGATATCAATCAAATCCCAATTACAAGATTATGAGATCATTTTTTGATTCACTTATATATTTTTGAGACAGTAGAATTTTTATCATTAGAGATTTGGAGAATTACAATTTAATGATTTTATTATTGGATATAAGTATGCAACATGTATTATGTACACACTTAGAGATATGTCCTATGATTGGTTACATATAACACCATCTAACAGACCAAGTTACTAGGTTGAGAATAAATATATTAGTATAATATTATCGTCTGTCTACATGTACATATATATATATATATATTATCTACACATTTAAGATATATACTATAATTGGTTAAATATAATTTTATTCAATAAACTAAACTATTTAATAAAAAATAAATATATCATAAATAAATTTATATTAGTTTACCTTAACGTGGATAACTAACGTTACACATTCTTTTAAGATTTGAAATTTTAAAAGATATAAATATTTTAATATTAAGACTATGAAAATGTTACTTTAAGAACGAATTTGTTAAGATATATACTCAAAATAATTGACTTCTAATTCTATCAACTCAAGCAACCCCTTGAAATTATGTCTAGGGCAAAGTGAAAATCAATTAACATGTGCTTCATCTTACAATGTGATATTGAGTTTCAAAAGACAACAATTACCCCTAAGTTATTTTAGTAAATTATTAAAGTTGACTAAATACATTATTATGAATCATGAGCCACTTTTTACGAGGCAACTCCATGAGTCATAAATTTAACATACCAAAACATGTTAAATTGAAAATCATGAAATGTACTTTTACATAAGATCTCTCAAGAAAAAAAAAAAAAAGATAATCATTGTTAACAATACAAGTTGATATAGCTAAATGATAACAAATATCTCCAGATTAATTAGCACTTGAATATGCACTTAAGATTAAGTGTGAGGAACTAGAAGGAGATACCAGTTGTAGCCATGTACCTCTAAAAAGATGCCTTTAAGGCACTAAAAAATGTGTTTAATAACCAACTAATGCAACTTTATAGCCTTGTACATGAATTGAGAGAGATGATTCTCTGAGTATTTGATGTTTTAGCGCATGGTGGAGAGTTACTATATTGCCTCTAGAATATTACAGTATGTTGTGTCATATATTAAGGTACTACCATCAGGAATTGTGGAGTCCAGCACAAGAATTTGAATTGATCTTCCATCGAACATGATGGTCTCTGTTAATCGAACAATAATTCGCATTAGTCGTGTGAGTTATTCTAAAATTCAATAAATACTTGCAGCTTATTGGTTGTATCATAGAGAATTAGACAGTAATGTCTACATGAAATCATTTACACATGTGCATGCATCAATATATACATGGTTAATATACCATTATTATAAATAAACAAAGAGTTATTTGATTGTGGTCATTGAAATCCATAATCTTAAACCTATGAATTGAGTGTCTCACACTAGGATCTTAAGGCCTGTTCTAACTTGTACTATGTTTGTGAAGATGGAATTCATAGTTTAAATGTTGGGCATCTAAAAACCCATACAACTCCTTCATATAAACCACTATAAAAAGTTGACCTTTGTTGAATGTGTTATTCATATCCAACTAATAGATAGGCTAGCTTTGTTGCAAGGTAATCAAGAAGATAAGGGGAATGGTAAGTGGATCTACTATAAGGCCAAATGTCTTTGTATAATAGACACTGGTGCATTGATGAAAACAATTTGCTTCTAGAAGAGTCTCATAACAAATAGTACCTTAAACACTAATATTTCAAACTTGGTAAAAAAAAACAAAATCCTAGGTATCATTTTAGGTTAAAACATTCATCTTTTATGCAACGATAGTGCCCTAATGAAAGTCCTTGAGGGCTTCTGAAACAAATGAAGGTTTTATCTTAATAAATAAATTAATAATAATTGTTAGGTTTATAAATGCTATATATGACTAAGTAACAATCGTATTGGTTTTTTGGATAGTGGAGGAGACACAAAAAGATATAACGTGAGGACAAGAGGTATTATTACCTCAAAAAGTGGTAGTTATAACATTTTACAAGAATTATTTTGTAGAGTATGTTATCAACCTTGTATCAAAATATGCTGACTCGACCCACACCAAAATGCACTATTTCACTGAAGGGTGATTCGCTGCGTTCAAGCTAAAGTGAGCTCTAGGACAGAATGGGTATTTAAACTCGTCTTCTTCCCCGAGAAACCCTAACCTGCTTTCCTCTATGTTACCACTGACGCACACTAAAAGCTTCTATTTTTCTCTATTTTCTTGCACTATTTTCTGGTTGTTTTGCAGGAAGATACGTACACACATCACTCGGCCACTCCTGCGAAGAGCTTCTCTCTCCATTCACCTGTGTCCGTGCCTTTCACCGTCACCGAACATCATCTGTGCAAATCTAGTATTTTCCTTACTTTTACTTGCCATTTTTATACAAAAAACATTAGTTTTAGATAGCTTAGTTGCTGAACTTCGTTTTCTTTCATGGTATCATAACAAAGTAAGGAATGAAGAGTTAAAATTCCTACTAAACCACTGCAAACTCGAACCCAAACTTTAGGGATTTGGCCATAACAAACCTGGACATCTCAAATATCAACAACTCATATTATCTTGATAAATCACTAAATTCTACGCA